GGAACGGATGAGGGAGGGGGCGGGTACAGCTGGATCTGCCTCTAGATAGGCCGAGCCAGATGTCACTCACGCAGTTGGATGGATCTCGACAGTAATGTCGGGATCCGTCCCTTCTGCGGCGGTCTCAGTATATAGGGAGCTGTAGCTCGCGGTATACTGAGCTTAGGGTGACGGGAGGATGCTAGTTTGTGTCTTCCCGTTACCCTAAGGGGAACTATGGGGAAAAAAACTGACCCCAAACTTTTAAAGTAGTACCTCAGGGCCGGCTTATACAAATTATTATTACATAGTATTTATATATAGCGCCAACAGTTTGCGCAGCACTTTACAATATAAGGAAGACATCACAATTCAAGACAAGATGGTAAGGAGGGCCCCGCCCCTGAGAGCTTACAATCTAAAAGGGAGGGGGAAATGATACATGAGGAGGGAGCTGTGTGGGGATGAATTGTGTGAGAACGTGATGGTTGAGCGGTTAGGTTGAGGTGGGATCGGCTTCCCTGAAGAGATGAGTCTTTAGGGAACGCCTAAAGACAGTCAAGGTGGGAGATAGACGGACAGGTTGGGAGGGGGCTGGAGTTGAAATGGGAACTTCTCAAGCTTTTAAGCGGACCTCTACCCCTCTCTTAGGGCTGAGCTGGATAAGATTAGAGCTGAGCTTAGTCTATGACTGACCAACGTTGCGCAACGTCATCTGCGCTGGTCCAAACAAACATTTTATGCTTTAAGTAATACGCCTGATTTCATGCTGGCCTGCCGCCTCTGTAGTGTTGCCCAAACCCCGTACTGATCCACAGTGGTGCATTTAGGTTTTGTGCTGCCCTAGGCAAGACTACACTCGGGCACCTCCCATCAAAATTTACCCCTTCCTGTTTAAGACATTTGGCATAATCTGTCAGCCGCTAGATACAGCGCACACGCCGTATCCAGCTTCTGTCAAGTTGCGTTAGTAGCATAGCAGGGAAGCCGGGGCTCAGGTGGGCTGTAAATTATCTCTTGTGGGCTGACCCTGCAGAGCCCACCATAAACCGGCAGAGCCCACCCGAGACCCCACCATAGATCCTGCAGACACCGCCACAGATCCTGCGCAGCCCACCACAGACCCTGCACAATCCACCCGAGACCCTGCAGAGCCCACCAATAACCACGCAGGGCCCGCAACAGATCCCACATAGTCCACCACAGACCCCACATATCCCATTACAGACCCTGCATAGCCCACCACAGACCCCACAGGGCATAGTATAGATTCTGCACAGCCAACCTGAGACCTTGCAGACCCCACATAGCACACCACAGACCCCACATATCCCATCACATACCCTGCATAGCCCACCACAGACCCCACAGGGCATAGTATAGATTCTGCACAGCCAACCTGAGACCTTGCAGACCCCACATAGCACACCACAGACCCCACATATCCCATCACATACCCTGCATAGCCCACCACAGGGCATAGTATAGATTCAGCACAGCCAACCTGAGACCTTGCAGACCTCACATATCCCATCACAGACCCCACATATCCCATCACATACCCTGCATAGCCCACCACAGACCCTGCATAGCCCACCACAGACCCTGCATAGCCCACCACAGACCCTGCATAGCCCACCACAGACCCTGCATAGCCCACCACAGACCCCACAGGGCATAGTATAGATTCTGCACATCCAACCTGAGACCTTGCAGACCCCACATATCACACCACAGACCCTACATATCCCATCACAGACCCCACATAGCACACCACAGACCCCACAGGGCATAGTATAGATCCTGCACAGCTAACCTGAGACCCTGCACACCCCACTATAGACCCTGTGCAGCCCACCTGAGTCCTTTAAGAGCCCACCACAGACCCCGCATGGCCCACGTGGGACCCCCACAAAGACCCTGGACAGCCCACCTGAGATTCTAACAATAAAGGTAAAACCTCCAGTATGAGAAGAACTTGTAGAGTCAGCAGAAGGAATAAAAGGGAAAGAAAAGAAGATTTAATGATACAAATGTGAAGAGAACTTTTATCAATCACCTTACAATGAATATCATGAGAAGAAGAATAGAAACATTTCATCTTCATTTGTTTCACAATCATAAAAATGTCTTCATATATTTGTATCTTTATCAGGGAAATGTGAAATGTTCCTTCTGAAGACGTCATATCTTCCACTTTCCTCCAGCAGGGGGCTCTCCAGAGTCCATGAAGCTGCCGGCGCAGACTGATTTTTTAAGGAAGACTTCTTCTAAGGGGCAATGCAGCCGAATGAATTTGGGAGGAGAAAGAAGCTTTTCAGGGTGCGGCCTATGAATAGGAAAAGTCTTACTGGAACGCTTCTTTTATAGAGAACCCATGTTGGTGACCTTCAGGAGATACTGCGCAGGCGGGTCCAGCACAAGGCATTCCCTGACAGTATCAACGAGACAGAACCGGGGGAGGAAAATACGCACCACCCTCTTGTTCCTCATCCTTTGAAAACGGAGGCCACCATGACTGCATCATACAGAGAGTCTAAAGGGGATGGGGCAGAGGGCTACGCTTGCATCCCTTGTGACTCGCCTCTCCAATAAGCGCCGACAGCTGACCCATAAAACAAGAAATAAAGGCCACAAACTCCTCCCACCTGAGGCATGAGGGACCCAAGATAGGGCGACAGAAGCATTAGAAGAGGGAAGTGAATCCAGCTGAAGGCTATCAGATAGACCATCAGGGGTGACCTCCTCACTGTAAATGTCAGAACATGTCCCATTACTCAAATCACCTTCGTGCTTTCTCTCTGCCATAGTGAGGGGCCCCCAGACAGATACTCACAAAACCGCACCAAGGGTCCTTGCAGTGGTCCCAGTGATCTGTGGCCCTGGCTTCGCTCTCTTCAATAGAGCCCACCCCCTCCTACAGGAGGAAGTCTTCAGGGGCTGGGTCACACCATGCCCATATGCCACTGCCCTGGACTTGTAAAGCACCCTGTGGCTAACCACAATGCATTGCATCAAGGTGGGCACCAAATGCAGGATTTAGTGCCCCGAGCAACATTACAGACTGGCCCAACAAGGTCCGGGTATGGTCCACCAAGCAATAGCCATGGGGTACTGATCTGGAATCCGGGAAGTAGCCGCTGTGGCTGGAAATAACCATAGGAATTTGAGAGAAGAACAAGGTAAAGGGACAATAAACTACACACATCTCTATCAGCAGAGAGCAGACATCTATCATCTAAGGACACAAGCAAAAAACAAGGATTTCCCGATGGGGGAGGGGTTATATGAGTGACCACAGCAGCAGCAGGTCAAATCACCTGATGGTATCTCCATAAAGTCATCTCTGGATCTGCCTTTGTCCTTTTAGTGTACCATCAAGAAAACAGATTTACCCAAGTGTGGATTATCTGCTGTTAAGTATGATGGGAGTTTCATGAAAAACTTTTCCCGCACTTGAGTCAGGAATATGGCTTCTCGTCTGTGTGTAATCTCTTATGTGTGTTAAGAGTGGTCCATGCTGTAAAAGATTTATTGCATTTAGAGCAGGAATATGGTTTCTCTCCTGTGTGCACTCTCTGATGTCTGGTAAGATTGGACTTACGTGGAAAACCTCTCCCGCACTCAGAGCATAAATATGGCTTCTCCCCCGTGTGTGACCTCTGATGTTGGATAAGATCATACTTTTGTGTAAAACTTCTCCCACACTCAGAGCAGGAATATGGTTTCTCCCCCGTGTGCAATCTCTGATGTATGGAAAGATGGCCCTTCTGTGAAAAACATTTTGAGCACTCAGGGCAGGGATATGGCTTCTCGCCTGTGTGTACTCTCTGATGATCATTAAGAGACCTCCTTGATGTAAAACTTTTCCCACACTCAGGGCAGGAATATGGTTTCTCCCCCGTGTGTGATCTCTGATGTTGGATAAGATCATACTTTTGTGTAAATCTTGTCCCACACTCAGAGCAAGAAAATGGTTTCCCCCCCGTGTGCAATCTCTGATGAATGGAAAGATGGCCCTTCTGTGAAAAACATTTTGCGCACTCAGGGCAGGGATATGGCTTCTCGCCTGTGTGTACTCTCTGATGATTATTAAGAGCGCTCCTTGCTGTAAAGAATTTCCCACACTCAGGGCAGGAATATGGTTTCACACCCGTGTGTGATCTCTGATGTCCGATAAGATAACACTTTCGTTCAAAACCTGTCCCGCACTCAGGGCAGGAATATGGCTTCTCCCCAATGTGAGATCTGTAATGTGCAACAAGGTCTGATTTACTAAGAAAACTTTTCCCACACTCATAACAGTACAAAGACTTGTCACCAATGTGAGAACTCAGATGAACACAAAGATCTGATTCAGAGCTAAAACTTTCCCCGCACTCAGGACAGGAAAATGTCTTCTCCCCCTGAATTCCGGCACCATCCCCCACAGGACGAGGTTGCTCAGAGTCAGAGGGATTCCATGCTCTATCCACACTGTGACGTCCACCATCCATAGCTGAGCTCACTGTCTCTTCTCCCGCACAATCTGCTGTGATGTCCTCATCTTCCATCTTACAACCTGGAGATAAAGTCAGAGGATCCTTTGAGGGTTTCTCCATGGCGTGTCCTGGAAACATAGAAACACATGATGGAGAGATATGAGAGGGTTAGATGACTTCACTCAACATTCCATCTGGATCAGGAGGTCTGAGGGAGCAGATGTTCTCTGTGGAGGTCCCAACCAGCTGGGACTCTTCCCCTCTTCGGTCAAAGGGCCTTTGGTCCTCCTCCCATATCACTTCTACATTTACACAGCCCTGTCAGAAGAGGAGGAGCCAATGGGGACTGGGAGGAGCACGCTCTTCACCCAACCACAAGCCTAGGCACTGGGTCATGTGATGTCTGATGAACAGAAGCATCAAAGTTCACACTTGTACCACAGAACAAGTGACCCCAGGCCTAGGCTTCTGGTGATGAGCAGCACTGGAGGGAGCTTGGAGGAGTATGTTCTCCTGGAAAGAGAAGTGTTTCAGTCTTTGTTACTTTTCATCCCAACAAGACTGATAAACAGAATTCCCGGCACCGCTCACCTCTCCTGTCAGCAGCTCCATCATCTTCTTGGTGACTTCTAGAATCTTCTCCATGTTGGGTCTCTCAGGTTTTATGGAGTCACATGGAGGCACTGTGATTGTCACATGATTCCCTGACTTCAGGAGATGTAAACTCTGGATGGAGAAACCAATAGGAATATCATGTTAGAATCCCAGAATCCTCCTCACCTCTCCGGTCAGGTCTGTGTTTTATTAATAGAGATAAGAGCAATGTCATGTGACCTCCCAGAATCCTCCTCACCTCTCCGGTCAGGTCTGCGTTTTATTAACAGAGATAAGAGCAATGTCATGTGACCTCCCAGAATCCTCCTCACCTATCCGGTCAGGTCTGTGTTGTATCAATAGGGAAAAGAGTGACATCATGTGACTAGTGATGGTGGAACTTAAGCAAACTAGCTACAGAGCAGGCGAGCAATTCAATTGCATACTGGGCAAGCTCGGACCACTGGTCTAGCCTCGACACTCAGTAGTCAAATGGGTAGCCCGTTGCCAAGGTGTCCACATCCACCCCTGATCCCATATAATCTTTGATCAGATGGGTCATATGCTGCCAGCAGCTGGCCTGGACGATGTATTGAGAAAAAAGGACCTGAAAGCCTCACCTAGGTGGCCATCACTGCTACTCCATTCACCACCATGAGATTCTGAGGCACATGGGCCATGGAAAGGAATCCTGACACTCTCTGGAAAAGCCATTCAGAGGTTCTGCTGAAGCACCTCATACAGATGGCGTATTTTCTGCCTTCTCCGTGATGGAAGGATGAGCTCTGGTATTTGAAGTGATGTTGATACCAAAGGGTGGCCAGCCAGTAATGGTCCCTCGCTTTGATGGCCCAAATCCTGCAGTCCTTGCATAGGCACAGCAGCATGAAAGAGTCCACCCCCACCCACACATTTCACAACAGTGGAGTTCTTGATGTCACTGAAGGCAACAGTGTCCTCTACCAGCTTTCCCCACCCAGGTACAACTCCCAGTGTTTGGGAGGGGTGAAACACACTCCTGGAAGCCTGTTCAGTGTCATTATCCCTGGTGACGGGCTCTCCAGGGATGGACTGGTAGATGCCAGGCTCCAGGGATGTGTCAGTCTCTGCGGGTTCCGGAAAGGAGGAGGAGGAGACGTGGGGCTGGACCGGTGCTGTCAAAGAAAGCAGCCAGAAGGTATTCAGCAGGCTGCCTAAGGTCACCAGAAGTGCGGGACCTCAGGCAGTCGCTCGTTTAAAAATGTAAAGGGCCAGTATCGGCCTTTAGTTCTGGGGCATTTTCACAAGTACAAGTACTCGAGCAAATGTTAAGGCCACAAAAGCAAAATAAGAAAAGTGGCCCCGTGGGATTGTGGCCCCTATCACCCATGTATTTTTTTTAAAACTAATTATATTCAATAGAGGTGTGTGGTGACTGTCATGTACCTGTCTCTCTGGGGCGGCTTTGCTGGTTCTTTCTTTCAGGTTACATGCTGCCTGCTGTTGCTAGGAAGATTTACCTCAGTTGCTGGACAGACATTCAGTCAGCTGAGCACAGGATTGGTGACAGAGTTTTGGTGGGAAAACAGCTGACCAATGAGAGTAACCTTTCCCCTCTATAGTCACTCCTGTCAGTGGGCGGGGTCAGCAGTTACCTCAGTATCTTGACAGACCTTCAGTTCAGCTGAACACAGGATTGGTGACAGAGTTTTGGCAGAAAAACATCTGACCAATGAGAGTAACCTTTCCCCTCTATAGTCACTCCTGTCAGTGGGCGGGGTCAGCAGTTACCTCAGCACTGCCAGCTGGACTCACCTCTGGATCATCTTCAGTCTCCCTTTTGGATCTTTTCACCTGCTCACAGCCCGGAATGGATCATTTACTTCAGCGTGACTTCAAAGGGCGGATTCTCCTGGTAGGTGGACCGGCTCAGACATTTGTAACTATTCCTGACTACAGCCGCCTCTTTCATGTCATCTGTGGCCCCTGCGCCTCTCATTCCTGATGTGTCAGCCTCACCCTGTGTACAGCATTGGGGCCTATACCCGAGGTCAACCATGAAAACTCCTCTTCATTTACCTGCAGGCGGTCTGCGATTTGTAGCGGGACTTTTAGGAGCAGCATTAGGACTGTCATCTGTGACTAGGAAGGATCTGAGCATTGCAGTGCTGCGTGGTGGAGATCTTTGTCTGCGTTCTCATCACTCTCCAAGGGACTGCCGAGCAGAGTATTGTGAGGCCAGACCAGAAGTGCCTGAGTGTCGCATCACCACTGGGACCGGGCTGCCACTAGGACTAGTCAGGGACCCGGGGTGTAGGACCGCAGACCTGAAGTGAAGGAACGCAGGTCGGAGGGGGAGGAGCTACCAGGGAAGGCCAAGGAAGCCAAATTCTCCATCAGACACCCACAGCGCCAGTGTTCCTGTCACAGTGAGCGGGGCGGGCAGCGGATCTCATGCTGCTATCCTGGCCTGATAGCCTGAGCGTCGGAGGAGGGGCCTCTCTCCAACTGGACCCTCACCTCATCACAAGAAAGGAGTGAGCTGAGGTCTGAGGGCCGGGAATGTATTGCTCTGGGTCATTCCCTCTCTGTGTCATTATCCTCCCTTTGTAAGGTGTAGTCTGTCAGTCAGCCTTCAGCCACCCCTTCCCTTTACCCTCATGTCTCTGGTGCTTCCCTTCCATGCTGGTACCCTGTGACTTCTTATCATTGTGTTTTCCTTTGTTGTAGCCGGTGCTGTGATGTCACGGTTTGTTCTCCTGTCCAGTATACAGACGGTCAGAGGTTGTAACAATTGTCGGGTTATGTCGTCATTCTAGGGTTGCCACCTTTTTTTCCACGCGAAACCCGAACACTCTAGCGGCGCGCTGACATTTTTCGGGGAAATGAGTCGTGGTTTATTCATTTGCAAATAACGCCACCCATTTATATGCAAATATCACAGTTGAGACTATTTTCAGTGGGAAGCCAGTAGCCCCTATCTCAATTTTGGTTGCTCCTCTCTGCGATATCTTGTGTCCGGGTTTCTGCTGCTATGAAACCTCGACACAGCATTCAAAACCCGGACTGTCCGGGTGAATCCTGGACAGGTGGCAACCCTAAGTCATTCTCTCCTTGCTTTGTCTCAACGACTTTGGATTTGCCCAGACAGTGTGATACAAGACCCTCCCTGATCTATCCCATCAGTCTGTACCCAGTCAGGCCCTTGTGCTGAATAGTTGGTGGTGGATGTAGAGGAGATTGTACAATCAGATTGTGATGTGTGTGGTGAGCGTTCGGTAAATCTGTCTCACGTTCATTGCCGGTCAGTTTCGGTACATGGAGGATGTTTTCCAGTCACAGAAGAATGTGTTTCACTATCCTCCCAGAGGATGGCAGTGTGCCCACACGTGACACGGGGTTCCAGGATTAGCTCTACGATCCCTTCTCTGGCTGAGCCTAAGAGACCTGTGTTCTTCATGCTTCTCCACGATGCTCCACAACTTCTACTCTGAGTCTATTGTGTTCAGAAATCTGCTTTGCAAGACCTTGTTTGGTGGTGAGTGTTTTCCCAAAGGCGCTGAGTTCAGCCATCTCGGCACAGTGCTGTCTGATGACCTATGTGCCCAAAACGACTGATCACTCAGCTTATAGTAACGGCTTTTCTGAGGAAAAGCCTGGGGGTGCACAGACCTGGTGGATTGCCTAATGGTATCACAACGGTTTATTCTGTAGTACTACTTTGCTTCTTGAGGGCTGATTGTTCTTATTGCATTACGTTTGGATCATGATCATTTCTCTGGGGGGGCCTTTGGAAAAGCTGTATTACCTTTTGCTTCTTTTTATGTTACCTATTTCCTTGATTTGTATGCCTCCTATATTGAATAAAGTTATATTCGATAAAAAAAAAAAAAAAGTTCACACTGCTGACCCCAAAAAGAATAAAACTAAAAAGACCCATCAAAATAAAATAGAACCCTGAAACCGCAAAAAACAATCCTAATCCAATAAATCCCAAAACCCAATTTTAGCTTTTTGGGGTTTTTTTTAGACCGGTGTAGTCACAGTGACTGTAATGGACGGTACACAGTCACACAGCAATGCAAATCACAGTATTGGAGCACTGATACCACTGAGCAGCACAGTCAGTACGGGGGAGGGGAGGGGGGTACACTGTAGTCTCTGCAGCCCACCACACTGCAATGCACTGGAATGTCGGAGTGACAATATGTAGTTCTGTATAACTCTGTGATATGACACTACTAGCACTGCACATGGAGCACAGACCGTCTCTCCATCACCAACCCCAACACACACTGAGAGGAGGATGCTGGGAGAGCCGGCTGTTATAGAGATGGGGCCGCCACATTCTCCAAGCCCCGTTACTGACCAGAATTCTACAACAGACCAGAGGTCACAGGTCATGCAAAGCATTATGGGGTTTCCCCATAAACCCAACCTCCCGGGATCCTCCTCACCCCTCGGGTCTGTGTTTTGTTAATAGAGATAAGAGTGAAGTCATGTGACCTCCCAGAATCCTCCTCACCTCTCCGGTCAGGTCTGTGTTATATGAATAGAGATAAGAGCGATGTCATGTGACCTCCCAGAATCCTCACCTCTCCGCTCAGCAGGTAGATGATCTCCAGGGTGAGGTTTAGTATCCTCTCAGTCATGTGACTCCGCTCCTCCTCCATCTTCACCGGTGTGGTCATGTGATCTCTGTGGACGGAAAGAGGAGAATTATCTGGTTGTATAATATTAGGATGGGGATATAGGGGGGTAATAGGTGGGCTGCCCCCCCAGTGGGAATTGCCCCATGTAGATGGGGGTCACTCAGTGTTTGTTGGGTTTCTTGCCCCCTACAAACCTGTTATATTTCCTCCTCCCGGCCTGATCAGACATGACACTTCCCATTTTGTCTCTGATCTATATTTCTTAGTTGTAGATCTGCAGACAAGGAACGATAAATAGAATCTTTCTCTAATTGTCTGATGGTCACCTTTGTCCTTTGGGGGGGACTAGAGGAGCTATTGTCAGCTGTGGGGACCTTTACTAATACAGCAGGGGAGGGACTTAAAGCTGAACGTGGTGTGACGGGACCGGCCCGGTTCTCAGGGACATCATCATCAGTATACTACGGCAGCGCGGACTTTGGATGAGGAATTATTTGTTATCCTCTTTTACAATTCTCAGCCCCCCAATCTACTATTATCTGACTCATCTCAGGAAAGAAAAGGCTTTTTTCTGGCAGGTTCAGCGGGGACTCGTGTGTCCTCATCACGGGGTACTCGGCCCGCTTTGTCCAGCAGAAGTCGGAGCCCCAAAATCATTCTCATTATTTCATATCAGAAAAATGTCTTCTTTTCCTGTCCTGTGACTGGAGACAGACGTGTTTGTATGAAGAACCAACAGGCCCAGTCCATACCCACCAACAGTCCCGGGTTCTGGAGGAGGAGGGGACATCGGCAATGCTGGCTGAATAGTGTCTCCTCTGTCCTGGGAGGAGGAAGATGGAGCCACCACTGCGACACACCAAACTAAGTCCTCATTCACACCATAGTGTAACGGAAACGTGCGTCACATCCACACAAAGGTTTGCACCCTTTGATGCGCTTTCTGGAAAACATGCACCAAGCGTGGAACGCACTTGCGGAGCCATTTCTACATAATGGCACCCCAAACACAGCTCAGAAAACTCTCCATTTTCCTCCACGCAGAGAAACAGAATGCATGTTGCACAATTTGCTACACTCACTAGTTTCCGACATTTGGGGATGTGTGCCAAACATGGGACACAAATGCATGTCACTGCAACACACATTCCTGCTATGCTATGGTGTGATTGGGACCTGAATCCCTGATGTGTCCTTATGAAGGAGCTCTTGCTCTCCGCTCACCATCACCAGACACACTGACACTACGGATGAACTTCCACCCTTGCTTATAGTGAGGGGGCGGGGTTATCCACCTCTTCCGCCATCATTGGCTGATGAGCAGGAACAAAGGCTGCGCAGGGCACTATGGGTGAGCCCCAAAATTCATCAAGTGTAAATTCAACCAAAATTTTAATCTTCCAAAATGGGGTCAAATTTCACAGCAACTCGAATCTGATTTTCATCCCCAAAGCATGAGACTGGTAAAGTGAAAGTGTGACACTTCTACAAAATGAAGAAATTATTCTGACCCAGAAGTGGTTAAAGGAGAACTATGAGGGGGGGGGAGGTGCTTTTCACTCACCTCATAGTTCTAGCCGACCTGTGACAATGAGACTGTCACAGGTCGGCTCAGTAGATCGGGAGGTGAGCGAACACATACCGGCGTTCGCTCACCTCTCGATCCTGTCACGGCTCTCTGCCGTGACAGGGAAGGGGCTGGATTCCCCCCTCCCCGCCAGCGCTGACTGGCGGAACGGACGGGGAAGGGGGCGGGTACAGCTGGCTCTGCCTCTAGATAGGTAGAGCCAGCTGTCACTCACGCAGCTGGGCGGATCCAGACAGAATTGTCGGGATCCGCTTCAGCTGCGGCGTCTCAGTATACCGCGAGCTGTAGCTCCCTATATACTGAGTTTAGGGTGACGGGAGAACGCTAGTTTGTGTCCTCCCGTTACCCTAAGGAGAACTATGGGGAAAAGCCTTAACCCCATAGTTCTCCTTTAATATATACAAATCCACACTATATATGTGTGTAGCAGCATCTGCTAGAGTCACATCCTAATTACTATGGAGGACAAGGACAGACATGACGGGTATAACTATATAATAATATCTTATTACCTTCTCTGCTGCAAGTTCCAGCAATGTTTCCTTCATATGGTCACCTAATTCAACTCTCACCCAGAACTTCCTGTCTGTATGTGACATCAGTACTCTGTTCACCATAAAGACTTCCTGTCTGTTCACCATAGAGACTTCCTGTTGGTATAGGTGAGGTCACCACCTTGTGGAGATCACAAGAACTGCAGCCTCGAAGAAACGTCTCGTAGAGTGAACACGGCCTTGTCATTGTTGCCGAGTGTCCCCGATGGTCATCAGTCAAGCCTAGACCCAGCTAGTCCACTCAGCTGCCAAGGCCGGGCTTTGGCAATGGGCAGACACGTGACCCCCTTCCATACTTATAACACCCCACAAAGCCCTGAGAATGAGGGAGATGATCTGAGAGAAGTCCCCATGGGGTTCTTTTAGGTTTCTAACACATCCTCGGTGATCTATGAGCATGGGGAGTGTGATATCATTCCAGCAATAGATCATTTCACCATTCTGATTTGTGTCCCGGTCATATTTGCCCCTTAATGATCTTTTCCTGTTCCGAGGAGCTTTTGGGGTGGGGGTAGGGTTATGGTCACTTACCATCGATTGGCCGGGTCAAGTCATCCGGGAGGAGCATCTGGGGTGGTCTGAGTGGGCGGAGGGTGGTCCAGTCAGTCTGGAGCTGGCACACGGTTAGTACTATTCCCGCCCTCCCTCCCTTGTTTTAAGTTTGTACTTTTCCAATTTTATTACTGTTTGTCGTGTTTCCTTTGTCCGTGTTGCCTAGGTCTCGTGAAGGCAGGTGTCGGCACGTAGGAATACGGTTGGACTCGTCTGTGGTGCGTGGTCCTGGTTGTTCTCTGGCGGGTTCAGCAGAGAGAGGTCGAAGAACTATGTGTAGGTAGGTCTCTGCTGTTACTTCCTAGGCTGTCCCTGAGTCGGTGTGTTGCGGTTAGGGGGCCAGTGGTTTTCAGGGGTAAGCAGAGATCTACTGTAGCTGAGTAAGTGGTGCCTTCACAGACCTCAGGCCAAATTACGTATAGGGATACAGTTGTTGTATATTGTCATATGTCATGTTTAAGTAACAATAATACTTTATGAGATTTTGTAATAAACGGCTGATACAGCCATTTTCTATCCAATCCTGCTTGGTCTTTTATTTGGGGAAATGAGAAGTTGAGAAGGGGTCAGTTGCTGTAATCAGCTGTTCATGGTTGGGAAAAGATGACTATGCCTTACCCTGTCATGCCTGGTGGAATGGCACAAGTGACCCTAGATGGTGGTGACAACTATAGAATTCCTATACTCGTCAGCGCCATCTCGGGATTCCAGTGCCGGGTGGAACTTTTATACATGAAGCCTTTGGAGCTTTTTTCTTAACAAGGCAGATTGCTGGAACTTCGGTGTGCCCCCGCCAGCGGGACGGACCATACTGCCCAGAACCGGTAAAGACTATTTTTGTTTCTTTCTACCTTTTTATGTCATTGCCACATTTCTGTGCGTCCTTTTATAGATTTATTTATTGTGTCATCTCCACTTTTGAAGATATTTCTTCTGCACTTAGGGACCTGAGGATAATACATTGATATAAATAAGTGGCTTATGTGTCCTAAGCTAAGAATTCCTCCTCCTGGAGAGATGGTTGTGTTGGGGTAACAGTGTCTGTATGCTCCGTGTAAGTCCATTGTCACTCCGAATGAAATTGTATTGTGTGAGTGCAGATTGGTGTCAGTGTGTGTCAGCCAGCGGAACTGCTAGGTAGGGATATGGGTATGTGTGGTTGCCAAGTAGAGCAGTTACTTGGCAGACTGCAGGTGGTGGGGCTCAGGTGGGCTGTAAATGATCTCTTGTGGGCTGACCCTGCAGAGCCCACCATGTACCCACCTGAGACCCCCCCCAGAGCCCACCACACACCCTGCACAGCCCACCACAGACCCTGCACAACCCACCCGAGACCCTGCAGAGCCCACCAATAACCCCACAGGGCCCGCCACAGATCCCACATAGTCCACCACAGACCCCACAGGGCATAGTATAGATTCTGCACAGCCAACCTGAGACCTTGCAGACCCCACTATAGACCACACACAGCCCAATTGAGACCCTGCAGAGCCCACCACAGACCCCACATAGCACACCACAGACCCCACAGAGCATAGTATAGATTCTTCACAGCCAACCTGAGACCTTGCAGACCCCACTATAGACCACACATAGACCCTGCACAGCTCACCTGAGACCCTGCAGAGCCCACATAGCACACCACAGACCGCACAGAGCATAGTATAGATTCTTCACATCCAAACTGAGACCTTGCAGACCCCACTATAGACCACACATAGACCCTGCACAGCCCACCTGAGACCCCGCAGAGCCCACATAGCACACCACAGACCCCACAGAGCGTAGTATAGATCCTGCACAGCCAACCTGAGACCCTGCAGACCACACACAGCTCACCATAGATCCTGCACAGCCCACCTGAGACCTTGAAGAGCCCACCACAGACCCAGCACAGCCCACCATAGACCCCGCATGGCCCACTTGGGACCCCCACAAAGACCCTGGACAGCCCACCTGAGATTCTAACAATAAAAAGTAAAACCTCCCGTATGAGAAGAACTTGTAGAGTCAGCAGAAGGAATAAAAGGGAAAGAAAAGAAGATTTAATGATACAAATGTGAAGAGAACTTTTATCAATCACCATACAATGAATATCATGAGAAGAAGAATAGAAACATTTCATCTTCATTTGTTTCACAATCATAAAAATGTCTTCATATATTTGTATCTTTATCAGGGAAATGTGAAATGTTCCGTCTGAAGACGTCATATCTTCCACTTTCCTCCAGCAGGGGGCTCTCCAGAGTCCATGAAGCTGCCGGCGCAGACTGATCACTACTGCAGTCACATGGTCAGTCCCGTCATGTAAGAAGGAAACAAAAACAAGGGGCGCCTACCCTGGT